GAGGTTTTATGATGCTGTGGTCTTGCTCTATAGGTCACACCTGCTGAGCGGCACAATGACCCACGACAAAGACCAAAGAGTGGATTGAAAGCACTAAAAAGAGAACATGGGTAAAATAATTTGTTGTAATCGACAGTACAAACATRTTCAGCAAAAATGAAATGTGGGCTATTTTTGTAAAAACTTCCAAAAAGTAAAGAGAAAGCACAAAATAAAGGACCTGATTAGAGATTTATGTGAAGAATCGATATCTGTAAAGATAAATGTTAGAGTAAACACAAGTATTGTTTATATTTCTGTGACTATGAGGCTTTTTGTGTGACCATATTAACATTTGATGTGGAGAAAAAAATGTCTTCAAGCTGTTTTTGGTCTGAGTTACAGATTAATGATTGGCTTTAAGAAAATAAATTGATTTTGCAAATGAAAYCTCTTCAGAAAATTACTTAACTTATAAAGTTTGTATTTAAATAGTTACAGGTGGGCTCTAATTTTTTTTTGTTTCTGTAGAAATAACAGGTTCAGTCTTGTATAAAGTACCCCAGAGTAATATTTGAGTGAAAGTACAAGTGTCTAAGAATAGTAMTTGAGTAAAACTTTTAAAGTATCTGACATTTACACTTGTGTGGGATGGATTGTGCACAATATTGTCAGAACATATATTATTTTTAACAACAAGCGAAAATGAAAAGAAGACATGAAATTGAAGTAATGACAAAAGCACAGAAAAATGCATGAAAATGTAAAAAGAAGTAAAAAAATCATCGGCTCAACCAAAATTTCTACTTAAGTAATGAAGTATTTTTAATTTATAGCTCTGCATGGGTTCCAGTCCATGGAGGTCACATCAGTACTTTACATCAGTGAAGACATGTAAGCAGAAAAAAAGATAATAATGATAATATAATCCTGTTTTGGAAAGACAGTATTTCTGTGTGAACAATGCCTGAGATGGCAACACATCAGAAGATAGAGGAACTCCATCACAGCATACCGAGCCCAGCAGGATTCTGACCACAAGACTAAAGGTGCATCCTCCTCTTCATCCTCTTCCTCCTCCTGCTTCACTTCAAAAGGATGTCTGCGTCATCGAGGAGTGTTTGTCTTCACAACTGCTGAGACCTTYTCACAAACACAAACTGCATTCAAACAACAATTCACGCTCAGAATATTAGCAGAAAAAACAGAACAATATACAAACCTGCTGTAAGCTGTGAAAATCAGAGGAAGCTGTAATTAGAGCCCACATTTCTGCAGACGCTACAACACAATCAACCAGCAGGTGAACGGTGCTGGAGGTCTGAAAAACAAACTGGACTTATGTGAACCCTGGAAGAGACGCAGAGAAAATAAAAAATAAACAAATAAAAAAAATGAAAGTTGAGCTTTAGATTGCGAGATGACTCGTCTCTTTGTGTGGCGTGTGAGCAGATGTAATGAAGGACTGCGTGTTCCCAGCACACACGTGTTAAACCATGAGCACGCTGCAGCGACCTCTCAGATGGATTTGTTAGTTTTCAAGGAGAAGAAAAGCAGATTTTGACAAACACGGTTTGAAGAAATGCTTTTCTGTGACTCAGTAATTATTCAGCTGCGCACACCAATCTGTTCCTGGACTGATTAATCATTCTTTAAAGCTCGTAAGTAACATGCATAGATGTGGCTCTAATTAAAACTGATTCAGAGCTGGCAGACTAAAGAGAACACCATAATAAACTAAACGATGTTGCTCATAGAGCCTGTCAGAAAAATACCCGGAGACCAAAAAGGAACAATTTTTAATTCTTGAATGTAAGTTTGCATGTTACAAGTGATGCAGAAACAACACCGAGGGACCCTCGCCAGGCATTATTTATGCACCCTGAAGTTAAATGTGGCAGGTTCTTCAGCTGATCGATCAAAATAATCTAAATTCTTAAAACGCTACCTTAAAAGGAGAATATGGAAAGGTTATAAATAACATATATGTTCTTATTACGTGTTACCTGGTGGGGACGAGACTAAATAATGTCTTGTGTTGCTACCAAAATGAGCCTTTTGATCGACTTTACTTTGGAAATAGATTTTAATTCTGACAGGATTAGTGAACTAAAAATAAAATATATTCCTTAACATTCCCCGTTCAAAAGATCTGAACTATCCTTTAAAATAAAGAACTGATCTCGACCGACACTGAATATTCAGGCTGTGCTGCTAAAACAACAGGTCTTTGAAGGAAAGCTGCACATAAAATGTCATTTTGACTAACTTTCAGCTGATACGGTGGCTGAATCATTTTCAAGCAGTTGTGCTACAAATTTTGTTTATTTTTCTTTGCAGAAGCCCTCGTGTGCTTCTGTGGATGGAGCCTTCAGTCAATCACTGTGGAAAAATAAAAGTAAAAGGAATACATTTTTACTGGAAATAGAGCCTGAAGACATTTTCTAAAGGCCTTTCCTCCAAAAGCTGTGTGGTGTGTCGTCACACACAAGTACACAAAGGCTGGATGTGTTCATCATACAGTCCAAACGCAGCCGTCTCTATCTGGTTTCTGAGGGTATTAGGTTTGAAAGTCACCCTGAGAGCAGACAGACCGTCAGAGGCAGAATGATGGAAAGTCCCGAGTTTATAGTCCAAGATTAATAACTGATGGTTGCAATAAAACTGTGCTCAGCCTTCGATGGTTCAGTTTCTACAGTAAAATATGGTCCCACACACACATACACACACTTTACCTAATACCAATCCTTGCCTTTGTGGGTTACATCCATCTTTCCATCATAGATTTATCTCAATCACTCAGGAGTCATCAGTAAAATTTATCCAAGAGCCAGAATGTTTCTAACCAGACCGTTAGGGGCCAGACACTGATTAGTCTGTGTGTATATATATATATATATAT